GTCTATGGTCCAGCAGTTGCAGCGTTGTTCTCGTGTCTTCTCGTTGGGTGTTGTATTTCACGCATGCACACAAAAGATGCTAATAATGAAGCTAAATAATCGTACTAATCAATTATTGGACTAATTTTATTGGACTAATTGTATCCACAAACCAATCCGACCATGAACTAAACTTCTTTTATTTTTGTTTATACGTGGTGCAAAGTAATCCCGCCCCATATTTTTATGGCGTCAGAAACGAAGCAGCGTACGAAGAGTGCCCTTCAAACGACAATAATAATAATTATTAAAAACTGCCGGATCTCCGCTGGAGACTCCGAGGCACAGTGGAGTAGTCGTCACGATAAAAAATCTAAAGAAACAAAATAAATAGCCTTACGGTCGTCGGCTGCGTCATAAGGCCTCGCCAAGTGCGGAGTATAACGGTCTTGGCATACGGTATGTATTGTGCATTCGTTATTTTCTTTTCTTTTCTACCACGTCAAATTCTGACGCCAAGACTCTCTACCTCCTCCGTTCCAACGCGTTGTTTGTTATTAATTTAACACATCAGCTTCAAATAAGGGTCGTGGCACCCTGTAGAGTAAGAAAAAGAACAAAAAGGAATATTCCGAGCAGCCAGAGCAGCACGGCTGCTCAGGCCGCTCTGGCCAGAGCAGCTCCTCTCATCAAAGAAGACGCCGTCCGAAACCGCAACGGCTCCCTTCTTATTTTTTTTTTTTTTATTCACTCTGTTACTTCATTTTGTTGTTGGGTTCGACTGCTCCCTTTTCTGTGACGATGCCGTCCGTAGACAAACGTTTGGCGTTTTTTTTTTTTTTTTTTTTTTTTTTTTTTGTTACGCGATGGTGTGGTACGACCGATCAACCAATGAGTTTGTTAGAATTGTGTCACGAGGTATAAAATGGCGGATGAAATAAATATAATAAATGCAAAGAAGCGCGCAGTTCCCCCTCGGCGCTTTGTTCTTCCAGAGGCGAGCATCGCAGTGCCATGGTGTTCAACTTGTGCCGTCTTCTTGGCGCCATGAAAGACCCTCTTGAAGCAATTAATTTGCTTTAGCGCGTTGGCCTGCTCCTGGCTCCTGGGTTTTCGTGCGTGTCCAGAGTGCGAAGCTGCGATGACAAGCTGCAAGTCCGCGCTAGATCTGCGGATGGCTACACGGGGGGGAAGGGGGGGGGGGGGGGGGGGGTGCGGTGTGCGGATGATTCGTGAGGTGCCCAAGAGGAAGTCGGTCAAAGTTCAGTGCCGGGGCGAAGTCTCGATACGAAGCGGTTCCCTTTTCGAAGGATCGCACGCACCTGACGCTTCTCCAACTCATGAAAATCATCCTCCGGATGCCAGAACCTACCGTGCGCCGTCATTCAGCGGGAGGCTGATATCGCAAGTAAGACAATAACTGATTGGGCGAGCCTTTGTCGGGAGGTTGTGCTAAATGCCGTCTTTAAGCATTCAGACATGATTGGTGGCGACGGCGTGACTATAGAACCAGACGAGAGTATGTTCGGTAGGCACAAGTACCATCGCGGGTATTTAAGGCCTGGCCAGTGGGTTTTCGGCGGTGTGGCGCGTTGCAGCGGGTGCTGCTTTCTTGTTCCCGTGGAGACCCGTGACGCTAAAACCCTGCAAGGGCTAATAGCCGAGTTGGTCCACCCTGGAACAAGAATAATTACTGACTGTTGGGCTGGCTATCGCAAGCTTGCAGATGACGCTCGCTTCACGCACCTCACCGTCAACCATAAGCTTAACTTTGTCGACGCGAACACTGGTGCGCACACCAATACGGTGGATTGCACTTGGGCCCACGTCAAAAACTCTCTTCCATCTGGACGGCGCGAGAGCCACCATTTCACTGGTCACCTTGCAAAGTTCATGTTTTGGAGGAGAGACAAGGCGCGCGGAAACACTGATAGATTCCAGTCGTTCGTCGCCGCGGCCGCCAAAATCTAGAGCCCCGACGCAGACAGGGCGAGGATTCTGACGGCCCCGGTGACTTCGAGGGATCCGCTGCGCTGAGCCTGTCACCCGTCTGCGTGCATAAAGACGACTTATGCGCCAACCGCTTGTCAAGTGCTCGTTATGTCAGTTATAGGTTCTGGCAGCGGTCTAAACGGCCCTTTTCAGGGCCCCATATTTTGCAAACGGAGCTGTTTTTTGAATGCCGCACCCCGTGTCTCTGTAAAAAGTTCACAGGAAAGACCCAGCAAAGGTATGTGGTCCCCAACTTGGATATCGGGTGTTATGATTCAAATAAAAATTGTTCTTGCTTATTTCGCGCCTGTGATCAAAATAAATGCCGCCGTTGCAGTCGTCCCGCGGTGCTGTTGCTCGCCCATTCGCCGTCGGCGTGCCTCAGCTTCGTCGTCTTTGCTAGCGGCGCACCGGCGAAGGCGGCCTTTGATCCGAATAAATGCCGCCGTTGCAGTCGTCCCGTGGTGTTGTTGCTGTCTCGATCGCCGTCGGCGTGTTTTAGCTTCGTCGTCTTTGCTAGCGGCGCACCGGCGGGGGCGGTTGATCTGCCAAACCGCGTTCGGCTTTGGCTAGCAGACGGCGTTCGTAAAATGGCGTCAGCTGTTGCTAGCTTCACGCGGCGGTACCGTGCGTGCTTCTATTCATTCGGCGTTCGTTGCCATGGTGACGGCGAGGAAAGCAGACGAACTTTTTGATGCGGAAGAACGCTGCGGCGCAGCGATACCAGGCGCGTTCTAAGGCCCTTCCCGCATGCTTTTCAATGGGCGGAAGGCGAACAAAAAGAGTTCGAAATAAGGACTTAACGCAGAAGGCTGCATTTCTCTAGCGCCTCATAATTTGACGAGCCTTGCACGAAAAGCATGTTTTTTTGGCCATCCCGCGTCCTGTTTTTTTTATCCGGAACATGGGTCTAAAGTATCAAACTGCCCACGTGGCTACCGACGTTGTCGACGTTTCGAACACTTACCGCTTTCAACAAAAGTCCTGGCACCTGGGCTAACTTTCTGGAAAGACTCGTAGTTTTCCTTGAGTCCAACGCCATCATAAGCAGTAACTGAAAACGACCCACTATTCAATCGGCGGTTGCGAAACGTATCCGCATCTGCGGAGTCATGGGGATGCGTTCTCTAAGTGGCTGGAAGTTTACACGATGCCTGCCACGACGTCCAAACACGTCATTGACGTTCTACGGTCTCTTGTGCCTACATTTGCCCTACCGAAAATACTTTTCTCTGATAACGCGCCAAATCTTGCTTCAAACAAAATAAAAAAGTTTTTGAAGAAAAAAAAACAACGGCATCAGGCATCACATTAGTGCACCATACCATCCTGCAACTAACGGGCAAACAGAACAAACCATGTGCGAAAAAAAAAAAAAAACAAAAAAAAAAAAACTCTTTGAAGCTTACGGAAGAAGCAGTTGAGTGAAGAATCGCCAGGTTGTAATTCCAGCAGCACGCCACGGTCTCATCTTAGGGCCGCCCACACTAGCGAGAAAACGCGCGTGGCACGCCGATCGCGGGAAGACGCGTCCCGCATCCTGAAGACAACACTATAGTCCGTTACAGGTTAAGAAAAAAGCTGCACATCGATATGTATTCATCCGCCGTCAACTTACCGCCAATCGCGCCCGAGCGTCCTCGTGACGTCACGGCCTCTGCGGACCAATCCTGATTTTTTTCCGGACGAAAGCTTCCAACATGGCAGCCTGGGCCTAGCAACAGGACACCAGGGGCCGCTTGCTAGAAAGTCTTGACTCAAGTCTTGGCTCAAGTCTTGACTCAGGCGCCTGGCGGTCTCGGCTGAGACCGTGACTGAGACCAAGACGGATCCAGCACGGTCTCCGGCGCGGTCTTGACTCAAGTCCGGACTTGAGTCTGGCACCCAGACCGCCAAGAACGGAGTGAGCAGTACCTAGAGAGGGAATATAGGGAAAACTGAAGAAATACCGGAGAAAACAGAGGGTGCGTTCCAAATCTACTCGAGTGGCTCCGAGTTACCCTGGCAGATCATGTCACGTGACAACAAAAATCGAGTAATGCCGGATTCGGGTAGGTTTTCGATCGCAAAGGTACAAAACCTTTACCCTAGAGTGAGACCGAGTAAATTTTGGAACACGGCCGAAGATTCCGGACGTGGAAGTGACGAGTTGTGACCTCCTGTCCAATAAGAAAGCGCCGGCGACGCGAGGCGGCAAGCGAGAGATCGTCTGCTTCTGCTACGCTGCGATCGGTTTGAGCAAAGAGAAACGACGACAGTCGCAAAACTGCGGCACATGTCTCGTACATACCGTGGTTCCGTGCAAAATAGAAGAAAGAAAAAAAAAAGAGTCAGCGATGCGCGGTTTTGGGTAGAGTTTAGTGCGCACCAACGCTGTCATATTGCTTCGTATCGCGATCGTCTGTCACCACCGTCGTCGACGTCCAGTGCGTACGCCGAATAAAGTTGTTTACATAAATGCCTGCGTGTCCTTAACGCCCAATTTTTTAAGAAAAAAAAAATGCGCTGGACGTATTTTTTCGGAAGCATTTGCAATAAAAGTTGATAATTATGTTTCGATCATTAAGTTAGCAGACGACCGTCTGAGTTTGCTGCACGCAGACATGGATGTTGCCGGTCCATCACGGATGCCTCCCAAGGTAAAGAAATCAAATTGGTCCGAAGATGATAAGCTGTGTTAGAGACGTGTCCTCGACTGTTCATTTTTCTTCTACTTCGAAACTTTCCTCTTTTCCTGCCTCAGTCTCGGGCTAAGAACAAAATGGTTAACAACCATTTGTGTTTAATTAAGATAAGTTTCAATTGGTTTACGAAATCGAGAAACGAAAACGTATAATTAAGAACAAATTTAACAACAATATTACAAAAGCTGCTAAAAGAAAAGCGTGGCAGGAGATCGCATCCGTGATGAATTCGCGGCATCCATCGACGCTGCGCACTGTGCCGCAACTCAAAAAGCAGTGGCAGAACCTCAAATCTCGCAGCCGCGCGGAACTGACCCTCTCGAAGAAAGCACACACCACGACCGGTGAGTTTACTATAGATATGTTTTTACTACACATAAAAATGAAGCACACATTCTGTTGGCTAAAGAAGTTTTTTATCCACTTTCTCATTTTCTTGGCTAAATTATAGAAGAAATTAAGATATCAAGCTATTAATACACTAAAATCAAAACAATGAATGTGCTTGCTGCAATCAGATAAAATTTAATGCTCAAACAAAATATAGAGAGAACCTTGTCTTCCACAGGCGCAGGGCGCAACGACCACACGCTGACACCGCTGGCTGAGGCTGTGCTGGCGGTCATCGGTTCCACAAGCCCCAACCTTCTGGGTATCGAAGGAGGCGTAGACACCGACGAGTGAGCTGTCATGTTACTGCTATTTGTACGAAGTCTAGCCTTTCGAGATTCACACGATTGGGGGTTCTACTAGCAAAGCTAATATTGTATTCATAATCATATCTGAAGTTCGCAAGTACTAAATACTGGGCCACTCAAAGAAATGTTCTGGTGTGTTCTCTCCAGAGCAAGAAAGAACCGTGCCCTTCCAAGAACTCTAAAACTTCGAGCCATGTTACCTGAAGTTAAAGTCGAGCTAGGCATGTGAATGAAAGACCACTGCGCTCATCAATGATGATCATAAAAATAATATAAACAACAATAATAATAATAGTAATTATTGGATTAGGAGAGCCACGGCACTGCAGAAAGGCAGCAGCCCGTGCAAAGTACGCCCGCAATGCCACATCTTCTGATGGTGATTATGTGATGATGTAAGATCACGACCTAATCTTGTGAGATGCAAGATTAAAATGATGGTGATTATGAGCCGACATGTACATGGGGAGGACGACGCAGTCTTCTGAACATCGCAAGCGCCGTTGGCCGAGTCTTGAAAGTTTGGGAAAGAAAAATGATAGCAGACTTAGGCTGGTATATCTTAAAAAGGTATCATGCAATCCGAACAATACAAAGGGGATTGTGTTTCTACTACACTACCATTACAAAATACATTATACTCTCATGATTTCAAACTCCAGGAAGCCATGAATTTTGTTTGATTTATCGGAAATTTATCTAAATAATGATGCAAGATAAATATATGATTTGCCTTATGAGTGGCTTCACATACACAGAAGATATTTCATGCTTTCCTTTACATAGGCCTACTGATCATAACCAGGTATGCTACACATGAAACATTCGTGAAATGTAAGACAAAAGTTTATTTATCCCTCAAAAATGTTCATTGTTGTGGGCTGTTCAAAGAGCACATGACAACTCAAAACGAAATTCAGTTTGTTCATCGGGTCAAGAAGTTGTCTATTGTGAACTATTAAACGGGGGACACGTGAACAATAAAAGCGGGCACTGCACCACAGTTTTCATAGCAACTTGTGAGGACGTTGTGACTTGCCCATGCTATGCCACTTAAATTCAATGCCGTTGTGCTGTAATTCATATTTTTTGTTCTTGCAGCCCTTTTGTTTAGTACACATCTTTCCGAGCATCGGTGCACTGCAGAGGGAACACCCATGGATCTGTTGCTTCTCCGCAATGTGCCGGCGCTCGGTGTACGCCATGCTACCAGATCACAGCGTCTGCGCAAGTTGCTGCAGAAATTTCCGCATGAGCCCCGTTGAGTGCGCTTATCACCGAGCACCGGTGCATTGCAAAGAAGCAACAGCTCCATGGGTGTTCCCTCTGCAGTGTACCGGTGCTCGGAAAGAAGCACACTCAACAAAAGGGCTGCAAGAACAAAAAATATGAATTACAGGAAAACGGAATTCGGTTTAAGTGGCATATGGATACACTAAGAACATAGCGACACAACCAAACTTAGGAAATTTGTTTGAATTAACCAGAAGTATAATATCCGAGTTTGAATTATCGCAAGACTACCGTATAAAGGCTAGACTTTTATGAAGTCAAGCTGAACTATGACAAACAGCAAAAAAATATATTGTTTTATGTTGAAAATTGTACTGCTACGTAGACCCAAAGGTCACAAACACAAAGCTTGGACCTCATTTGCTTCAGGTCCGTTGTATTGAGATGGCAAGTCAAATGAATGAAGGCACAAAGCTGAGACAGTCTGTTGCATAAACATATTTGTGCGAGATTAGTGCTCTGAAATCTCGCTCATTTCGTAGGTAGCATTCACTGTCACAGCTGAGTTCGCTGCTGCTGAGCATATGCTGACGTCAAGCTCTTGCAACACTTTCAACATGCACATTGCATACCATGAGGAATGTCTTTTCTAAAATAAAACCACCTTGAAAGGGTGAACAGTATTGATAAATAAAAGAAATCAGAAGTAATCCTGAGCAGTCAGTTCAAATATGGTGTACAGTGAGTACAATTTATTAAGCACCGACCAGTAGACACTACCACTAAATTTGGAATCACCCTGAGCAGATCTGTTGCTCAACATGGTAGTCTTTGACATAAAACAGAATTGTAGGGACAAGCAACCAGAAATATCTGGCCGGCATCAACACTGCACACTGGATCTCCATGAAGCCAGCTGTTTTCACAACTAATAGCCGCAACAGTCAAGATCGGGCTTGACCTGCACACTGTAGGCTGGCTTTACTAAAGCCCACATACTTTCACAACTAATAGCAGCAATGGCCGAGAGCTGAGGAGTCGAGCTTGATCCACATGCACACAAAAAGCATGAATGAAATACAAATAAGAGTGTTTCAAATTATGTACAAGGGTGACAAGACTGACATTCTGGTGTATTTTCCTTAGGGCCAGCACAGCACCAGTCAGCGTGCAGCCAATTACTGATGAGGAGGTTGGAGAGGACAGAGACCTGAACTACGAAGTTGAAGTGGACCCCGGGGTCGCATTCCTCGAGGTGCCGGAGTCCGAAGAAACGCAGGACTACGAGCCTCCGGACTGGCCGATGGACGAGGATGAGGCACCCGTGGAACCTGGTGCAGCAGCTGCGCTGCTACGTCGGGAGGGGCCTCCTCCTGTGGCAGGGGGACCGCCTGAGGCAGCAGCTGCTGCTGAAAGGCGACCGGCACCACTGGGCCGGCAGGGACCACCTCGTTCACGACCGGTCTGGAGGCCCAGCGCACCACCCGCAGGCTCGGCAGCCAGCACACGGGCTGCAGACAAACAGTTTTATAGGGACATCATGGAGCAACAACACGAGAACGTAAAGTTAGAACGGCAGTGCCTCCTTGCCAAACTGAAGGCGACGGAAGAGCAGGCAAGGGCAGCAAGGGCAGCCTGCGAGGCTGCCGAAATGATGAAAAAGGCTGCAAACTTTTATATTGAACAGGGAGAAAAAATTTTCATGTTACTTGGGAAGGCCCTACAACAAGACCCTTAAAGGGGAGGAGGGGCCTTCAGTTTGGCAAAGAGGCACTGCCGTTTTAGCTTTACTTTGTAAATACAATAAACAGTTTTTTTTTGGTTAGTTCTCTTCAATGTCTTTTTGGTTCCAAGTAGGCAAAAAAATTCCACTGCATTATGTATTTCATTTAGCAACATGAAAAACTAAAGAAATGATGCATCATAAAAAAATGCAACGACTTTTACACACTCAGCTAAGTAAAAGTGAAAGTCATTAGTGTAATAAACACGCGTAAAGACCGCACCCGCAAAAAAAAATGTTTGCCTTGCGCACCATTGCATTTGTACAGGCCTGAGCGATGTCACCGCCGACGTGGCATGCAGTCAGCATCAAAGCTTTTTTTTCCTTTGCAATCCTTACAATCATCTCCCTTCTTGCTGCCTTTGTCGAAGTTGCTTAAGGCATATTCAGCCAAAACACCTAACTATTCATCTCCCTTTTTATGTTTGAGCAACCTTCATCTATGATCCACGGACGTCAAAGCCGAGTGGGAACGACAACGAAAGAAAGTACAAACTGCAGGTCCAAAATGGAAGCGCAGCGGCGTAAAGGCCCATACACACAGTTTCGTTTCAGTGCGTTTGACTGCACTGTATCGAAAAGTAGCCACAACTCCTTGGGCTGCCTGTGGTTCATATAAAACAAAGCAACTAACTTGCTTATCAGACGGCAAACAAACGGGGGCCCCGCACCATGCTGGTGATTGACTTCCCACCACATGGAAGCACTTACCAAGGCATAGGATGCCACAAATTGCCCGGACATGCACTGATGTGCACCATATTTTCTACAAAACTACCTGGTTTTTGGCATGCCAACTTGAAAAACTGTGCCAAACTTACGATGACGACATTCAACCAGCCTGTACGGGATATTTCGGCGTTGGTAAAGTGTGCTACGAGCAGAAAGTTCCAATATGCCACCGACAAAGTTTTGATTCGAAAGGCTATTGTGTCGGAAGAACAAATTTAAATATGCGGTTCAAGGCGTAACTGGAATCCCGCAATTATTTGACCAGCGGCTCTAGACGCCACTCATAGTAAAGTTATGAGTTAGTGAAGTATTGATAAACAATGCAAGGATCCATATGTCATGGAGCGCAAAGGCCGATGTCTCGGTGGCAGCGTTTCAGCGAGCATGCATTTGGGGGCCACTGCCGACTGATCATTGCCTGGCCGAGCTCGCGGCGAGGCATGCTTCCCGTACTCGCCGAGGAGGCCCCGAAGGTGCGCTCAAAACATGGAAACTACATCATGAAGATAAAGGCAAAGGGCATCGTTATCACGAACAGGCAAGGCTGATGCAAAGAGTGTGTGAACATAAATGTTAAAAAGTGTTGTCACTGCACCGCCACGAAGAGTCCTGCCAACTGTGCAGCCGCAGCTCTCCTCTGCCACTTGGACTTTCTTTTCTTTGACGGTTACTCTGTTGCGGGGCGACTCAATGAAACTATCGCCGCGATACATAGCAAGTGCTACAGCTGAATCAGGCGCATTTTACCATAGCTCTCGCTGCAAATGGCCGTCGCCTCAACCACCAGGATACAGTCGACTACAGACATGATGGCTGTAATCACATTCTGCTTGTACAGTGGCGTCGAAAAGAAATAGGGGGGCGGGGGAGAGACTGCCCCCCCGACAGGTCAGAAATTTAATGGAAAAGATATGGGGGAGGGGTGCAAACTTGCCCTTCCCCCCCACCACTGTCGCCCTCCCCATCTGCTGAATGGTCCTGACGTCTCTGTGCTTGTAATTACCCATTTTTTCTGACAAAAACTTTTACTTCAGTGTCCTATTCGAAAGTTTCTGGCAATAGCCACAGTATCAACAGATTGTTCATGGTGACTGTTGTGTGTAGAGTGGTGGCACCATCGGGGACACGGACCGCAATCCTAGAAGATTACGCCACACCGCGGAAAAAATGCAAAGCACGCAGTCAACGGCCAATGCCAGCCAGTGAACCTATCATGTCTTCATTACGTAGCCTTTGTATCTTGAGTCAATAAATAGTTCATGTTATCCGGTCATCATCTACTGGCCAGGATCTATAATGTGGTGATGAGGATAAGATTGCATAGAGACTGCCGCACTCTACGGCCTTACATCAGAACGTACAGGTGAGGCAGAAGGTTTGTGAACATCGCCCTTTGTTCGGGTACCCCCCTTGTACCCTCGACAAGAAATGGCGACCCTGGGACAGATAGCAGAATTCAACCCTGCGTTTCCGGAGAAGTGGGACGCCTACGAGGCAAGATTGAACTTCCACCTCGAGGCAAACGATATCACCAACCCAACTAAAAACGTGCTGTTTTTTTTTTTTTAGCGTTTGCGGAGCTGCCACTTTTGACTTAGTACAGTCATTACTCGCGTTGGCAACTCCCAAAACGAAGACCCTCAACCAACCGTCGGAGATTGTACGCCAGAATGCCTTTACCGGCGGAATCAGGGTCCCGAGAAGTCTGTGGCCTTATTCATTGTGGAACTACGGCGGTTGTCACAAAACTGCAACTTTCCAAATCTCACGGAAACACTGAGATCTACTCGTATGTGACCTGAGGGATGAAACTCTTGAAGCTCGACTTTTCGCAAAAAAAAAAACCCTCGTTCAAGATCGCTCAGGAAGAAGTGCTGGCAGCTGAAGCGGCGGCTCAAAGCACCACGATGTGAGGGGAGGAGAACCAGCTGTGGCAACCAACGTTGCCATACATCAGGACTAAGAGGAAGGAGAAAACACGCTTAGGCAACTGACAGGGAAACAGTATACCACGGGAAAACAAAGCCTTGCAATGGGTGCAGAGGAGCTCACGCACGGGAGTATTGTCAATTTAAGGATGCCCAGAGTCACTTATGCAGAAAAATCGGCCGCATCGACTGTGTGTGTCGCATGAAACAATGAGCGCAGAGCGGGCCATGGGAACAAGAGGATCCAAAACCATGGCGAACGTTCTGAACTTGAACACACAATCTGATGATGTGTACGATACTAACCAACTGGCCCCGCCACATGCATCCCAGACACGTAAGCACCGGACGTCGGCAATGATGGAAGTTGACTAGGGGTCAGAGTTATCGATCATCCCAGAACAAACAAATGAGGTCATGAAGAAGATGCTGTACCGGGTGAGCCATTTCAATCGCAAGTCAGATTTCCATTGCAATACGGTGCAGATCAAGGGGGTGTATAAGGTCCATGTCAAGCACAGCAGTTTCGAAGTAGACCTGAAACTGCTAGTAACACAGGGACAGTGGACAACCATCCTTGGCATGGACTGGTTTAAACCATTGGGAATCAGGCTGCTAGGGGTAAATAAGGTCACAGGGCTGTCTATTGAAGGTGTGCTTGCAAAGTATGATGGCGTTTTTGGGTAAGATTGAGAAGTTTGAGGGACCCCCAGTATCGCAGCACCTTGACTTTACAATGATGCTAATCCGCATGAAACCCTAGCAAGTGCCCTTTGCGCTTACGCTTAAAATTGACGCTGAACTTGATTGCTTTATTGAACAAGTCATTTTGGAGCCGGTCATGCAACCAAAGTGGGAGACCCCGATTGTGACGCCCATGAAGGCAACTGGAAACATTAGAATATGCGGCGCCTACAAGTGCACTTTCAACAAGGCACTGGCTCAACACCTGTACCCGATCCCCATGGTACAGCACCTCCTGGCATCACTCTCGGGGGGGAGGCTGTTTGAAAAACTGGATTTGGCAGAAGCTTACCAGCAGCTGGTGGTTGATGAAGAAGCGGCGGAGGCACAAACGATCACAACCCATCAAGGAGCATTTCGAGTAAAGCGGCTACGGTTTGGAGTAAATGTTGCTCTTGGGATCTTTCAGAGCTTCATGGACGACCTCCTGAAGGGGATCACCGGGGTTGTGTCATAATTCGATAACGTTCTAATTGCTGCAAGCACCAAAGAAGAGTTGGCAGGCGACCTCGAGGAAGTCCTGCACCGTCTTGCTGATACTGGACTCAGGGTAAAAAGTGAAAAGTGCCATTTTGAAGTGTCGCAGCTCGAGTTCCTGGGATTTCTCATTCCTGACGAGACGGGCGTGCACCAAACAAAAGAAAAGGTGAAGGCGATTCATGAGGCACCAGTACCAACAAGCAAACAGGAGCTACAGGCTTTCCTAAGACTGCTAAACTTCTATTGCATCTTTCTACGAAAAAGGCAGCAGTGGCCGAGCCACTACATCAGCTACTTGACAAAGAGGCACGGTGGGAGTGGACGCCTCTTCATGAACAAGTTTTCAACGAACGCAAGCAGCTGCTGTCCTCAGCAAGTGTGCTGCACCATTATGATGAAACAAAGCCCTTTGTGCACACTTGTGATGCCTCGCCATAAGACATACATTAAAGCTGTACTTGGTCGTCGACCGGAAGATGACAAAAAGGTCCCCGTCGCATTTTACTCCCGCACATTGACATCTACCAAGCCAAACTATGTTCAAATCAACAAAGAAGCCTTTGCAGTGCTGGGAAGTGTAAAGAAGTTCCATGACTACACGTATTGCCTTCGAGATCATAACACCACAAACCACCTTTGGGACTGTTCAGACCTGCAAAGCAAATGCCATACATCTTGCTTCCACGAATGTTGCGTTGGACGATCCTACAGAATGCTTATAACTACAGTTTGGATCATTGACCTCGGAAGGATATACAACATGCCGATGCATTTAGTTGCCTCTCACTTACCATTCCAGAGTTTGTGGTGCCACCTCCTCTAGAAGTTTTGTTTCTGGAGAACACATCCAATCCACCGCTCCACGCCAAGGACGGCGCACAAATGACAGCAAAGAACACCGTTTGAAGGATTCTCAACTGGGCTCTGAAGGGTTAGCTGCAAGGCGGCCTTGAGGCAAATTTCCAGCCATTCAAGATTCGACAACATGAGATGCCGGTTCACAAAGGATGTATACTTTGGGGGAACAGGGTCGTAATTCCCCCAGAAGGCAGGAAGGTGTTGCTGGAGGCCCTCCATGTCGGACATCCTGGCATCGACCAAATAAAGGCTCTGGCTCGCAGCTATGTGTGGTGGCCCATATGGACAGAAGCATAGAAGAGCATGTGATCAAGTGCATGGCATGCCAAGAGTAACGACCTGCACCTCCTCGTGCCTCAGTAGATGCATGGAATGCAACTCCAGCACCGTGGTCTCGGATGACGGGGCTCAGTTCACCTCCCAAGAATTCCGCACATTCTTGAAAGCCGGTCTCATCAGACACATCACGTCAGCACCCTTCCACCCGTCAACTAACGGACAAGCAGAGCGCATGGTGCACACAACGAAAGATTCGCTACAGCGTATTGTAAAAGGGAACATGAGGGCAGCATCTGACCAGTTTTCTGCTACAGGAGCATGTAACACCATGCATGATGACAGGCAAGAGCCCAGTGGATATGCTGATGAACAGGAGGTTGAAGACGATACTTGACCGACTGCACCCAGACCTGACTGAGAGCATGAGGAAGGGAGCTGATGAGAATTCCAGCGAAGGAGCCCAACCGAAGTCCCGAATGTTTCAAACAGAAGACCCAGTATTCATATGCAGCTACAGCAGTGGCCCTTCATGGATACTGGCGACAGTGGTTGAAATGACGGGTCCAGTTTCCTACAAAACCCACACCCAGGAGGGCATTATCATGCGACGTTCTGTCGACGAGATGTGTAGGAGCGGTGCATTGAGAGTTGCAACAGACAGCATCAGCCACGGAGAGCGGCAAGCTGCTCGTCCTGAACCACCCGGGCACCCGGATACAGGCAGCGCAGTGCAAACGTCGGTGATGGGCCCAGTGCAAGATGTGGATGTGGCCAGGCAGAGGAGATCAGACGGGGCTCGAGCTCTTCGAGAAAGAGTTCACTTAGGGGGAAGGAGTGTTGTGTATTGAGTGGTGGTACCATCTGGAAACAGATGCCAAACCTAGAAGACCACGCCACACCGCGCGAACATTGCAAAGCATGCAGTCAACGGCCTACACCAGCCAACAAACCTGTCACGTTGTCATGTAGCCTTTGTATCTTGAGTTAATAAATAGTTAATTATATCTTGTCGTCATCTACCGGCCAGGATCTAACAGTGACTATACTTGAAGTGTACTGAAAAAAGTTTTTTTAGCTACGGCCTCATTATTTCAAGCACAGTATGATCAGACCGTTTAAAAAAAGTTGGCGCCGATATATTCGTAGACAGCATGATTAGTACTTGTACCTAACTAATTCAAAAACAACCCTTACCTTTTTTTTTCCAGTTTTCTGTGCACCTGGTTGTATGCGCACTCCGCTGGCGTGTCTACCCAGCGGTACGGCACGATCAATCACGGCCATCGTAGCCGATCGCCATCCACGATGACGAGCCCGTTTGAAGTTCCTCCTCCGAAGTTGTCTCTGATACAGCTCTGCGATAGCATGTGGAGGTCATGGGTGCTTCCTTGCCACTTGGCGACCACCTCACGATCTGCGAGCATATGCCGACCACCAAGAGTACTACCTACTTGTCCGGCGTTGGTTCCGAGGAGCTCCGCTGCTGGTGACCACCTGAAGTGGAGAAATATGTCTGAGATTCGTTCATGACAGACAATAAAAATTCTAGCGCAGTTTCGATTCAAATATATATAGCCACGCCATAACAATTCCTAGCGAAGGTTCATAAACACTGCTATAACGTATCAAGCTACTCGCTATCTTCCAAAATGTTTTGGAACATGACGTCCGTCGGGAGTTGACGCTGACATTTTGAGAAACTGTTTGCTTTTCCGACTGTTTTTAAACACGAAACACATCATTTTACAAAGGAAGGATTGCCTCGGAACTGTACCTCGGCCAACTCCGTGATCCTCGGGTTGAAAATCGTCTGAACAATAAGACTACGTACTACGTCTTGCTTTCCGTTCATTCTTGAATGGATGGCGCTGCATTTGTGTCAGAAACTGAGCCGCAAAAATAAGTTATAATTATGCCAAACTTATTCACATTTGCCTTTACGAAACAGCACAACAAAACAGTGGTGTTATTGATATTATTTCTTACCTGAGCACTTGCATCAGGACATGGGTGACCAGTCAAGCTCACAGGAAAACAAGCGATTGCGAAACCACCAAAACGAAAACGAAACAGTCGTGGCAGGCTTTCCTGTCGAAGACGTCGATGGCGTAGAAGCAGACTAAACTCGCTTCAACACAAGCATTCACCCATTAAAAATGACTTGTAGCCGGTGCGTAGTGGCTGGTGGTAGCCACGTCCGACATTTTGTTTTCTCAGGCGGTCTCATCTTGGGTCTCAGCTGAGACCCAATGTAAGACGCCGGTTGAGCCGCTTGCTCGAAACGAAATTGGAACCGTCTCAGCCAAGTCAGGACTTGAGTCCGGTACCTACAACCGAGTGAGCGGTGCCTCGAGAGGGAATCTAGGGAAAACGGAGAAAAACGAAGAATCCGGACGTGGATGTGACACGGGGTCGTCTGCTACGCCGCGGTCGTTTTGGACAGCGACAAACGACGACAGTCTCATAATTACTGCGTCGTGTTTTTCGTGCAAACTGTGGTTATACGTGAAAAGCGACAGCAAGCCGCGGTTCTGGGCGTTGTCTGTCACCACCATCGTCGACGTTGAGTGCGTATGCCGAATAAAGGTGTCCACAGAAATGTCCGTTCGTGCCGATGCATTTTCTAAGAAAAAGGAACAACACTGTACGTCCCTTCAAAGGTAAAGACGAATGTAATTTGGTGCAAAGATAAAAAGTATCAATTGGTGTACGAAATGCAGAAACAAAAACGCGTAATTCGAGAGAAATTTAACAAGATTACAAAAGTTGCTAAAAAGAAAGCACGGCATCTGTTCCATAGAGATCATACATACTGTCCGTACTGAACTAGCGGGACCAACCGAAGGACCAACCACGACACAAAAAGTTAAAAAAAAAAAAACCAGTTGCAGAACGTAAAATTTTTTAGCTGCAGAGTTGACGCTTTCCACAAGGGCGAGTTTGTTATACATTTGTCTTTACTGCACATAAAAATGAAGCACACATTCTATGTGCTCAATCAATTTTTTTCACTTCTTATTTTCCTGGTTAAATTATAGTAATAGTCAAGAGCTCTGGATTTGAACATCCCTTCTAATTTTCCTGGCTAAATTATAGAAGTTGTCAAGAGTTCTGGATTGAAAACTTTTATTACAAACAAATCAAAACAATGAATGCACTTGCTGCAATCAGACAAAATCAAATGACCCAAGAAAATGTAAAAAGAGCCGTCTTCCACAGGCACAGGACCAGTGAGCTGTCATGTTACTGCTGTTTCTACAAAGATACTAGAATGCAGTATGTGCCATTTGATGCAGACAAGTCTAGCCTTTTGAGGTTGACATGATTGGGGGTTCTAGCAAAGCTAACATTGATTTCATAACTGTATCTTGGGTATGCAAATACTAAATACTGGGCCCACTCTAGGAAACATTCCAGCAAGTTCTCTCCAAAGCAAGAAGGATCTTTGCACATTCAAGAACACTGAAACTTTGAGCCATGTCATTTCAGTTAAAAGTCAAAATCGGTATTTTTTAATGAAAAAACACTGCACTTATCAATAGAAGAATTAATCTTGTACACTGCTCAAGTGCTAGAAGGTACATTTTAAAAAGGAGTTAAGCAATGCAAACAATACAAAGGTTATTGTGTTTCCATTGCACCATCACCACAAAATACACAGGCTAGAAGCTTATGAAGTAAAGCCGAAACATGGCAAGCAGTAACATGAATTTGATGTTTTATGCCGAAAACTCTACATCTCCGTAGGTCCAAAGGCGACAAACACAAAACTTGGACCTCATTTCCTTTGGGACCCATTTTCTTTGGGTCCATTGTATTGAGATGCCAAGTCAAACGAGTGCAAACACAAAGCTGAGAGTCTGTTACATAAATATGTATGTGCAGGTGCTTTTACCCATCTAGCTCATTTTACAGGTAGTATTCACTGGCGGCCATAGCTGAGCTCGCAGCTGCGGAGCACATATACTGACGGCAAGCTTCCACAGCACCTGCAACATGCACATTGCCCACATGAAGAATGTCTTTTAGAGTGCAGCTCTTAGGCGTGCGTCTCCGGAGTGAGTGGTGTCGGTGTTGGCCTAACTGCGCGTTACATTGGGACGTTTCCCATAATGACATCCCATGTGACGTCACTAGGGTCACGAGTGACGTCAGAAAGGTCACTTGTGAAGGTCATGAGGGAGGAGGGAGGGGGAGGGAAGGGGTGGAGGGAGGATGGAGGGGAGGAGGGGCATACCTGTTGGTAGTGTAATGGACCGTTATCGGATGGCGACACGAATCCAGCGCTAAGGTCGTGCAGCCGTTCCCCTTCTGTTTGCATTTTCCCCCCTCTCTTCCCGCTTGATAAACAAGATGGCAGCTTGACAGCTGTATGTCATTTCTTCATCCCCAAATCCACTCGATCTGCGTCCCAGAAATGTGGTCACACTGTGCACTTAAGATAAACAAACATGTTATGGGCCCAGGGCGACACATCGACCATTATTTCGGAAAAGGGGTCACCTTTAATGAGTGATGAAAAGGTACGACCACATTGAAGAAAAAACTGTCAAGCAACACCGTCTTCGCGACGTCGTGCCGATGCCTGAAGAAGATTAGACGAGCATGAGTGTAGTGAAACTGTCAAGGACGAAGTGACTGACAAGCGGTGTGTGCCCGTCAAGAAAGTAAAAGGTGGCGCGTTCTTCATCAGACGGATGGAGCGTCGCCGGACACCGGTCTCGCTGCGGACTCCATGGGGTGCTATGTTCGGAAGACGTCTACACACACCACGCGTGGGTACAGCGAAGTTGTCGGTAAGAAGTGACCTTTGCGCTTTCCGAGCAGGACGGATCATCGTGCGGCACCTGTGGCTGTCGGAAAGAAGTACTGACATCGGTTCGGTGCGTGCCAGTGATGAAAGTGTCGGGAAGAAGTGACTGACACGCCAGTGACGAATTTCTCGGCAAAGAAGTGAACGAAGGAGAACTGCGTCGACGGTTCGTGGAAGACGTCGTCAAACCTGTACATGTGTTCCTGCTTCGCTGGGTGCCACAAGACATGCAACAAGAACCCAACGCAAGTTCATCGCTGTAAGCCTACTTCGAACCGCTCTCGACAAAGCAAAGCGATAGGATGGCGGCGCCGGACGAAATCAAAATACCAAAACTCTCAAACGAAAATTACCATGCGTGGGCGATTTGAGCCAGAGCGACATTCGTCCAGAAAGGCTGTTGGGAAGCCATGGAGCCTGGCTATGGTGGGAGAGAAGTGATGAACGACGAGAGGAAGAACACCAAGGCTTTGACATTCATGTTCCCAGTAGTGGAAGACACCTGTCTGGACGACATTGGGGAATGTTTGACAGCTCGTGAGGCCTGGAATACATTGGAAGAGATACATTTAAAGTGTGGGCTACTGCATGCTCTTCAGTTGATGGGAGACTTCTCCAGCACCAGAATGGAGCCAGATGAAACCATGAAGGATTACCTGGATTGAATAATGAACCTACAGAGGAAGCTTTAAACGGCAGGATACGCCTTCACTGACAGGGAAGTGGCACTGGTGATGCTGATGGGCTTGCCAGAAACGTATGAATCACTTATCCTAAATCTTGAGCAAGACGAAGGAACGCTCACGACGAAGAAGGTGAAAGCAAGGCTGCTGGTAGAAGAAAAGCGCCAAGTCAAACGTGAAAAAGACAAACTAAATGAGAGTGAAGAAAACAAGGCCCTCTAACAAAGAACAAGCCATTATGAGGAGCAGTCAGCTCCACAAACATAACGGGCAAGAACATTTTTCAAGGAAAGCAGCAACTGGCACTGGTACAAGCTGCTTTGAACCGAAACAATGAGTTCGGTGCGGAAAATTTGGACACATTGCCAGGGAATGCAAGGAGGGTCCCGATGACGAAGGATGCAACTCAAAGAGAAGACGAAATTCCAGTGAACCGAAGAAGGCGCTCTGTGCCAGAGGTGGAAGTTCCTCAGGGTCACACATCTGGTACCTTGGCAGTGGAGCAATTGACCACATGACGTCAAACAGAGCCAAATTCACCACTTTCAAGCCCTGCTGTTCGACTGTTGAGGCAGCAAATAAGGAGGTCATGGAAGTCGTCGGGAGAGGACAGGTAAAGATTGAACTTTCGAAAGACTGCGGTGGCACTGTCGTCGAGCTCCAAGATGTCCTCTACGTACCAAGCTTAGACGGTAACCTCTTGTCAGTTGGGAAGATTGAGGAACGTGGACTGAGCGTGACTTTCAGCAACGGAAAAGCTAAAGTGATTGAAGCAAATGGTGACCTAATTGTCGTAGCCAAGCGCGATGGTAAATTGTACACTGAGAGTAAGTCACTTGCAACATTGAAGTTAGCAAAGGCGACAGACGTCGCCCTGTGGCATCGACGACTCGGTCATCTCCACCATGAAGCTGTCGAAAAACTTTGCCAAAGTGGTAGAAGCAGTCAAGATGCAAAGTGCTCGACATGTGCACTCGGCAAATTGAAGAAAAGCAGCTTCCGAAGAAGGGTGGAACAAAGGCTAAGGCCCCACTGGAGCTAGTTCACTCGGATGTAGTTGGAAAGATCACACCTGCCTCGAAGGGAGGGTCGAACTACTTTGTCACATCCATTGATGACTACTCCAGATTCACTGTAGTGTACCCAATGAAGACGAAGAATGAAGTGCTGGACAGATTCGACCAGTACAGACGAATGGTCGAGATTCTCCACAACACGAAGGTGAAGACTTTGCGTAGTGACAATGGAGGAGAGTACACAAGCAAAGAGTTTGATGAGTACCTGGCCAAGCATGGCATAAAGC